AATTGCATAAATACTGTGACCTGTGATTAAAACCTGAGTTGACTCCCAGCCTATGTGTCGTCTAGTTCTTGGGAAGGAAGGGTTACTGCAGTGCTGTTTGGATTATTATATGCTGATTCCCTGGATTATCCTTTGTTGTTCCTGTTACCCAGCGGAGATATCGTGGATCATACTGCCTCTCCGCTTCAATTGGTGGCAAGCGACGGGATTGAATTTACACAGCAAAGCAACGTTCGGCAGATTTTTAAACGAATCAAGGAACAAGCATTCGGGAATTAGCGCATTCGAATGAACCTCACGAACAGCAGGTGAATGGGAACAGATTACGCCCTGCTAAAACGGAGCACATTAAAGGAGCTGCTGGAAGCAAGAGGAGCAATCGCCAGTAACAAGGCAAAGGCTGTCCTAATTACAGAGCTCATGGAGGGAGACAGAGTCGCAGCTGCTGCAGCACCTCGAATGGAGGGACAAACCCACGAATTTACAGCTGAATTCCGAGCACGAATGGCTTTATTTCCTGAACCCCCATCTACAGAGATGGTTAACCGGCTGTTCGGTGATGTACAGGAGTACATTATGGCTAGGGGACCGCCAGGGAACCAGCAAGCCGGGGAAAGAGCCGTAACGCCAGTCCATATTTTCCCAGGGAAAGCCAAAATCCCATATCAAGCCTTCAAAAGCTATGTGGAGGCGGAGGGTGGCGTTGACGACTATTTACAGGACTTCGAGAGACTGTGTTTGCTGCACGAAATTAATGATACAGACAGAGTACCCCTACTAGCGGGGAGATTATCTGGGCGAGCCGCCGAAGCGTACCGGGCAGTACCAGACGAGGATAGTAGAGACTACGCTAAAGTAAAACGGGCCATCCTAGCCCGGTATGCCATCACATCAGAGGCATACCGAAAGAAGTTTCGGGACATTAAAAAACCCAGTAAGGACACCCATGTGGAATGGGCGCACCAGCTGCAACGAGCTGCCAAAGGGTGGCTGGAGGCCGCCCAAGTTGATACATTGGAGGGTCTGTTCCAGCTAATGGTACTGGAACAATTCTTCAATGGCGTCCCGCCCTACCTACAAAACTGGATCCGGGACAGAAAGCCACACACCCTGCAGGAAGCGGCTAATATGGCAGACGATTTCCAGGACAATCGGAGAGATCAACCCATACCCACCCGAGCCACCATTCCCCCTACAACGGCTAGCCCTCCAGGGGGCCCCACAACGTACCAGCGACCAGGGGTAAACCAGAATTCCTACCCCCCCAGATATTCAGCACGTCCACCAATCCGGTGCCATACCTGCAACCAACAGGGACACATCCAGAGAGACTGCCCACGGAACCGGCCTCGACCCAGCTGGAATAACGCCGCCCCGAGCAACCGTGCCGCAGTCCACTGTCTACAGGCCGAATCCTACCAAAATCTGGAGTTGGGGACGACCCGGGAGGAACCCCTCGGTACTCTACACGAGGTGAACCCTATCCAGGCCGCCTCCGATAACCGCCAAGGACACCGCCAGGAAGTACACATGGAAGGGAGGAAAGTACAAGGGCTTCGTGACTCGGGAGCTACCCTAACTCTAGTACGCAGTCATCTGGTACCCAAGCCCAAGCTCACGGGGGACTGTGGCTGTACGGGTGGCTGGGGGAGCCATTTACAAAGTACCCACGGCCAAGGTGCACTTGAATTGGGGAGCGGGGCACGGGAATGTATATGTGGGGATGATGCAAGACTTGCCAGCGGATGTGATTTTGGGCAACGATTTGGGGGAGCTGACTTCGGCTTTTGTTCCACAGCCCACCGTACAAGAAGCATACCCGGTTGTGACCCGGCAACAGGCCCGCACCACTGCACCATTCGAACACTCTGAGGCTCAGGTAAGCAATGACCCTCCACTACCCCCTACCCTGCCCTGGGCCAATTCCATAGAGTTCGGGGCCGAAGTAGCCCTAGATCCTTCGTTACAGGTGTACAAAGACCGCATGGATAAAAATCAAGCTGGGTTAGAGGGGGAAAGATATATCTGGGACAAAGGGCTACTATATCGGCACGCAGAGAAGGTAGTGTCCGGGTCAATACCGTTGCCCATTAAACAGCTAATAGTGCCTCGAAAGTATAGGTTAGAGCTGTTACGCATAGCCCATGATATCCCTCTGTCTGGACACCTAGGCATCAGTCGGACCAAGCACAGGCTGACCCAAAATTTCTTTTGGCCAGGTATTTCCCAGGATATTAAGCGGTATTGTCAGACCTGCGATACCTGCCAAAGGGTAGGCAAGAGGGGGGACAGATACAAAGCCCGACTACGGTCTCTGCCCATCATTGAAGAACCATTCAGTAGGGTGGCATTATAGGTCCCCTCGCAAAACCCAGCCCCTCCGGCAAGAAGTATGTCCTAACTGTGGTGGACTACGCCACCCGGTACCCCGAGGCAGTGGCCCTAACGAACGTACACGCAGAAACGGTAGCCGAAGCCCTGATGAGGATATTCACCCGGGTAGGATTTCCCCGGGAGATTATCTCCGATAGAGGCACCCAGTTTACTGCTGAAGTGACCCATCAGCTCTGGAAAATATGTGGGATACAACAAATCCTCAACTCCCCATATCACCCCCAGTCCAATGGGCTCTGTGAACGGTTTAACGGAACCCTGAAACAAATGATCCGCACGTTCATGGACACCCAAAAGGACTGGGAGCGGTTTTTACCCCACCTACTGTTCGCGTATCGAGAGGTGCCGCAAGAATCCACCGGATTCTCTCCGTTCTAATTATTATTCGGGAGGAGAGTGAGGGGCCCTCTTGACTTGATACGGGAGCACTGGGAAGGAGACGAAACCGTTAATGGAACCCCTATCTTACCATATGTGCTCGAGTTCCGGGAACGCCTGGAGAGGCTAACCCAGACCGTCCGAGACAATCTCCAGGTAGCGCAACAACGACAGCGCCGATGGTATGATAAGGGAGCCAGGGACCGCAGCTTTCAAGTGGGGCAGAAAGTCCTAATCCTGCGACCCGTCCACAAAGATAAGCTGCAGGCTTCCTGGCAGGGCCCATACAAGGTGGTGGAACAGATCTGTGACACCACCTATGTGATCGGCCCGGTTACCGGCGTGGGAGGCAAACGCATGCTCCATGTGAACATGCTCAAGCCATACCACGAACGTACTGAGGAAGTCACCGCAATCTGTGCCCCTGCCACGGAAGATTTTGATAACCTACCCCTACCCGATCTCCTAGACCAAGAGGGCCAGAGCGGAGATCTGGGAGAGGTACAGTTAGGAGAAAGATTAAATACCCAAGAACGGGCACAGGTACAAAAGCTGCTTCAGGAAAAGAAGGCCACGTTTTCCAATTTACCCGGCTATACCCCGTTGGCTACCCATAAGGTAGAAACGTTAGATCCGACCCCCTTGCGCCAACCCCCATACCGCACTCCAGAAGCAGTCAAGGAAAATATGCGCAAGGAAATTGAGGAGATGATTCAGCTAGGAGTAATAGAGCACTCGGACAGCCCCTGGGCCTCCCCGGTAGTACTGGTGCCAAAACGGGACGGGACGACCCGTTTCTGCGTAGACTACCGACGGCTCAACGATAAAACGACCTCTGACGCATATCCCATGCCCCGAATAGACGAACTCCTCGACAAGATGGCCAGGGGTCAATACCTAACCACTATAGACTTGTGCAAAGGGTACTGGCAGATTCCCTTAGCGGAAGACGCCATCCCTAAGTCGGCTTTTGTCACCCCGTTTGGCCTGTATCAGTTTAAGGTCATGCCATTCGGGATGAAAAACGCTCCAGCTACCTTCCAGAGAATGGTGGACAGACTGTTAGATGGGTTCCAGGAGTATGCCTGCGCGTATCTAGATGATATCGCCATATTCAGCCACTCCTGGCACGAACATCTGGTTCACATAGGAGCCATTCTAGACCGAATCCGAGAGGCCGGACTGACCCTAAAACCCAGCAAATGCCATATCGGTATGGCGGAAGTCCAGTATCTGGGACACCGGGTAGGGAGTGGGCAACAGAAACCCGAACCTGCTAAAATAGAGGCAGTCGCCCAATGGCCTACCCCTCGCACCAAGACCCAAGTGCTCGCCTTTTTAGGGACCGCCGGGTACTACCGGAAGTTTGTGGCCAACTATAGCGCCCTCGCCAAACCCCTCACAGACCTGACCCGCAAGAACCTCCCTAAGTTAGTAGTCTGGGCCCCAGAGTGTGAGCAGGCGTTCCAACAGCTCAAGACGGCGCTGGTTAACTCTCCTGTACTTTCTGCTCCTGATCCAACTAAACGCTTTCTCGTCCACACAGACGCTTCTATGTTTGGATTGGGAGCAGTACTGAGCCAAGTTGGACCCGATGGCGGCGAGCACCCCGTAGCTTACCTAAGCCGAAAACTTTTACCCAGGGAAGTAAGCTACGCCGCCATTGAAAAGGAGTGCCTGGCTGTGGTGTGGGCCCTCAAGAAGTTGCAACCCTACTTATACGGGCAACCCTTCACTTTACTCACGGATCACAACCCGTTGGTGTGGCTGAACAGGGTGTCCGGAGACAATGCCAGGCTGCTGCGCTGGAGTTTGGCGCTGCAGCCTTTTGACTTTACTATCCACTACCGCCCTGGGAAGCAGAATGGCAACGCCGACGGGTTGTCTAGACAAACAGACTTGGAGCCGTGATTCGTGAGTACTCCTCCGGACATCCCCAAGCCGATCCGTTGGGATCAGACTGTGTATGCCGGCTTGGTTCTGGGGGAGCATTGTGGCAAACCTAGCCACTCGGACTATAACTGGACACTATGCCTTTAAGGGTTGCCTATAGGTCTGGAGAGAGATGCGTTGTAACTGTATGTGCCTGCTTCATGTATTCCCTGCATTGCCTGTACCTATCTGTTCCGCCGAATGCAAATGGCGGTTTGTATGGGGATTCCCGTTCGTTTCGCGAACGGCACTTTGGAGGGCCGTTCGTGAAACGAATGCGATACCCCCTAATAGCCCACACACTTAGAGGCGTGTGGCGCTAGTTAACCGATTGCAACATTGTTGCAATCGGTTATTAGAGGCTCTCCTGGGTGGCCGTCGTTCGACTACCGACCATGCGGCGGTCGGCCATCTTGGATCCCTTGTTCTTCAGCGGGTCCGTGTCGTCGAACGCATAGCATTACCAATAGTTATTCGACGGCACGAACACCGCTGAGCCTCCAGGACGTTCGGGAGTTTCAGGACCAGGTTCACTAAAGCAATCGGTTCTTTTCGTGTGTTTTGAAAGAAATGTGTTTTCTGTGCGGCGTTCGGTTATTTTAGCTGGGATCTGAGCGGCAATCTCACGAATGATGCGCCCAGACCCCAGCTATCTACCGAACGTCCATTCGTGTAAATCCACCGTATATTATACCAGTTGTAGATTTTTGTGTGAATTGCCGGTTCCGCTGCACGAGGGGATAATCCCCTTAACGGTGCATTCTGGGAGGATGATCCCTCTCGTGCAGCGGTGCCTGATGGGAGAAATATGTGGTACTGTAAGTCCCCCATGTAGTCCCCTCCTGTACAACCCCTGTAATGTCAGTTTGGAAACCCCTTGCATGGGGAATTGCATAAATACTGTGACCTGTGATTAAAACCTCAGTTGACTCCCAGCCTATGTGTCGTCTAGTTCTTGGGAAGGAAGGGTTACTGCAGTGCTGTTTGGATTATTATATGCTGATTCCCTGGATTATCCTTTGTTGTTCCTGTTACCCAGCGGAGATATCGTGGATCATACTGCCTCTCCGCTACATCCTATATACCATATACCATACAGACACTGACACCATGGCTCCCATAGACACTGATAGTGATATATCCCATATACCATATACCATACAGACACTGACACCATGGCTCCCATAGACACTGATAGTGATATATCCTATATACCATATATCATACAGACACTGACACCATGGCTTCCATAGACACTGATAGTGATATATCCCATATACCATACAGACACTGACACCATGGCTCCCATAGACACTGATAGTGATATTTCCTATATACCATATATCATACAGACACTGACACCATGGCTCCCATAGACACTGATAGTGATATATCCTATATACCATATATCATACAGACACTGACACCATGGCTCCCATAGACACTGATAGTGATATATCCTATATACCATATACCATACAGACACTGACACCATGGCTCCCATAGACACTGATAGTGATATATCCTATATACCATATATCATACAGACACTGACACCATGGCTTCCATAGACACTGATAGTGATATATCCCATATACCATATACCATACAGACACTGACACCATGGCTCCCATAGACACTGATAGTGATATACCCTATATACCATATACCATACAGACACTGACACCATGGCTCCCATAGACACTGATAGTGATATATCCTATATCCCATATCCCATATACCATACAGACACTGACACCATGGCTCCCATAGACACTGATAGTGATATATCCCATATACCATATACCATACAGACACTGACACCATGGCTCCCATAGACACTGATAGTGATATATCCTATATACCATATATCATACAGACACTGACACCATGGCTTCCATAGACACTGATAGTGATATATCCCATATACCATACAGACACTGACACCATGGCTCCCATAGACACTGATAGTGATATTTCCTATATACCATATATCATACAGACACTGACACCATGGCTCCCATAGACACTGATAGTGATATATCCCATATACCATATACCATACAGACACTGACACCATGGCTCCCATAGACACTGATAGTGATATATCCTATATACCATACAGACACTGACACCATGGCTCCCATAGACACTGATAGTGATATATCCTATATACCATATACCATACAGACACTGACACCATGGCTCCCATAGACACTGATAGTGATATATCCTATATACCATATATCATACAGACACTGACACCATGGCTCCCATAGACACTGATAGTGATATATCCCATATACCATATATACCATACAGACACTGACACCATGGCTCCCATAGACACTGATAGTGATATATCCTATATACCATATACCATACAGACACTGAGACCATGGCTCCCATAGACACTGTGATATATCCCATATACCATATACCATACAGACACTGACACCATGGCTCCCATAGACACTGATAGTGATATATCCTATATACCATATATCATACAGACACTGACACCATGGCTCCCATAGACACTGATAGTGATATATCCCATATACCATATACCATACAGACACTGACACCATGGCTCCCATAGACACTGATAGTGATATATCCTATATACCATGTACCATACAGACACTGACACCATGGCTCCCATAGACACTGATAGTGATATATCCCATATACCATACAGACACTGACACCATGGCTCCCATAGACACTGATATATCCCATATACCGTATATCATACAGACACTGACACCATGGCTCCCATAGACACTGATAGTGATATATCCTATATATCATACAGACACTGACACCATGGCTCCCATAGACACTGATAGTGATATATCCTATATACCATATACCATATACCATACAGACACTGACACCATGGCTCCCATAGACACTGATAGTGATATATCCCATATACCATATATCATACAGACACTGACACCATGGCTCCCATAGACACTGATAGTGATATATCCTATATACAATATATCATATAGACACTGACACCATGGCTCCCATAGACACTGATAGTGATATATCCTATATACCGTATATCATACAGACACTGACACCATGGCTACCATAGACACTGATAGTGATATATCCTATATACCATACAGACACTGACACCATGGCTCCCATAGACACTGATAGTGATATATCCCATATACCATATACCATACAGACACTGACACCATGGCTCCCATAGACACTGATAGTGATATATCCCATATACAATATATCATACAGACACTGACACCATGGCTCCCATAGACACTGATAGTGATATATCCCATATACCATATACCATACAGACACTGACACCATGGCTCCCATAGACACTGATAGTGATATATCCCATATACCATACAGACACTGACACCATGGCTCCCATAGACACTGATAGTGATATAACCCATAGACCATATACCATACAGACACTGACACCATGGCTCCCATAGACACTGATAGTGATATATCCTGTATCCCATATACCATAAAGACACTGACACCATGGCTCCCATAGACACTGATAGTGATATATCCTATATACCATATACCATACAGACACTGACACCATGGCTCCCATAGACACTGATAGTGATATACCCTATATACCATATACCATACAGACACTGACACCATGGCTCCCATAGACACTGATAGTGATATATCCCATATACCATACAGACACTAACACCATGGCTCCCATAGACACTGATAGTGATATATCCTATATACCATATACCATACAGACAGTGACACCATGGCTCCCATAGACACTGATAGTGATATATCCTATATACCATGTACCATACAGACACTGACACCATGGCTCCCATAGACACTGATAGTGATATATCCTATATCCCATATACCATACAGACACTGACACCATGGCTCCCATAGACACTGATAGTGATATATCCCATATACAATGTATCATACAGACACTGACACCATGGCTCCCATAGACACTGATAGTGATATATCCCATATCCTATATACCATGTACCATACAGACACTGACACCATGGCTCCCATAGACACTGATAGTGATATATCCTATATACCATTTGTGTAAGGGGCAAAATAGCCGTATATGGAGTAAGGATCCAGCATAAGCTTAGGATTGTGTAAAGGGAGCAAGTCGGTTGTGGTGTGCCGATACCGACGATACAGTAGGCCTGTAAATAAAGAGGGCCCACCAAGGAGCAAGAAAGTAAAGTAAATGGAAAGAAAAGAGAAAGTGTTGAAATGAGGAGTGGGTGGGAGGGTCATTCTGATGCTGACCTCAAGCCATATGAGTCAGGTAAGGGGTGTCCCTTATATAGGGGAGTGAATTAATTTAAGCCCCTCCCACAAATACAGGCAAAACTGCCTTAATACTTGTGTAAGGGGCAAAATAGCCGTATATGGAGTAAGGATCCAGCATAAGCTTAGGATTGTGTAAAGGGAGCAAGTCGGTTGTGGTGTGCCGATACCGACGATACAGTAGGCCTGTAAATAAAGAGGGCAAAAATGAATAATCAAAGATTTAATACAGTAAACAAATATATACAAATTAACCAGACATTTTCTTAAATGCATTACAGTATTTAATACCTGAAAGGATTTTGAAGGTAGGAATCTAGGACCGAAAGTGGGCACCATTTGTTGTGGGTAGGATAGTATGTTCTCTACTGTTGGTGCATGTTGACTCATTTTGGAATGTGGTAGAGCCAATAGGTAATGATATATGTGTTTACGTACGTGGGATCGTTGAAGACAATGATCTGTCTGAGTGGTGGTGATGGTAGTGGATTCTCTGGCCCGAGAAAGGCATAAAAGGCAATGTGCATGGCTGGTAATGGCCGACTTGGTAGTATAATTGAATGGTTGTAGATCTAATAGGTCCGATAAGGATGAACAGTTGGATGGCTATTGGTAATCTCTGAGAGGAACGTGGGGGAATGGATTCCTGAAAACCTCTGGAGTATATTCTTTTCTGGTATGATAGCATGAAGTTTATGGTAGTTTTGGCCATAGGTTATCATGTGTTGTTGAATGCCTGTAAAATATATAATTAATGGTGTATGAGATAGTTTAAGGTGGCAAAAATAAGCAAAACTTAGGAGAAATTTTGTGACACAGGTTGAGCTATGTCATGTTCCAATGAGATTCTTTAAGCCAGGTGAAAAGCTGTGTTATGCGTTCTACAAGTATGGGACAAAAGTGCTAGGTGGGATAGTGCATGCTATGCTGCATGAGTATGTCTAATCCATGATTTTGTCTCTGGAACGAAAGAGTGGACGTGACTGTATGGGCGGCTGTAGGAAGCGTATGATGAACATGCTTGGAATATAAATGAGACAGTTGTCGGCAGGGATGTATACCCCCGTCTGGTACATGAAAGTGAAATGTGATAAGTGGCCAACCAAGTGAGTTCCCCAGAAACATCATGAACTTATGGATGAGTAGTGGCGTTTGTTGATGATATGATATGTGCTTAGTTGTCTGAGTAACAACGGATTG